TTCCATTGTCAAAATTAAACGAAACGGATGTTGGCAAGTTCGTCCAAAAATATATCGGACTGAATTCTGTATACATTGCATCAAAGTCGATTTTTATGTGTACAGTACATTTTTAGAACTATTATTAGTCGCGCTTAGCCCGCGCCCGAATTTTAAATTTCGCCCAAGCACTTTTTGGTTGCCTTGATTCCATTTTCTCCCGATTGGTATGCAGGCGTTAAACAGGTCTGGCATGACCAACTATACGTATGCATTTCAGGCGCATATCTCTGCATACCACTATATCAGCCACTCATTTCGGACAGCCAAATCCACTTCTCAAAGAGGATCGAGACCCAAAACCGAGGCGCATCCCACAACAAGTGAGCCATGTATGTACATACATACAAGGCCTATTGGCCGCAATGGCTTGAATGACCCAACAAAGGATGGAAGAAGAGATTCAGCCACTCCTTAAGAAGTGCATCTCGCATGCGTCTTGTTGGGGCTGAAGGTCATACCCTCACAGCCAACATGAAGCCCTCTGCACATTGGTCCTCGGGTCGAGTTTCATGAAACGATGATTTTTGAAATGCGACCAGGTCGAGCGATGACATACAGACGTTTAAGTTTCTCATTTGAGGTGGAATGCAGAGGGTTCTCCGGACAACGACTCTCTACTTCATTCAGCACTTACATATATACAGTACGCACTGGCATACATGCATACAAAGAATCTTTGGTTTTGAAGCCCGACAGATCACAACTTCTTTATGCAAGGTACGTGCTCCAGCCAACCAACTTGACAGTCTAGAGCTCTCCATCGAGAAAGTTCGACTTGGTACAAAGAAGCAAGTCGTCGAGTTGCGTCTTGTTATCAGTGAGTCCATTCCCTCCCTCCGTTCTTCCACTTGGCGATTTTCAATCTCAGAAGTAAATTAACACCAGGCCAGCCTTCGCATATCTTAAACATCGAGGAGCCATCCGCCTCTCAAACGCATTCCCATTTTTCCCTCTCCCTCATCCTTCTACTTCTGCATTATCTGAACGATCAAAAGTCCTAACCGTTCAAATCAGTCCAAATCAAATCATGAAACCTGCCAGGGCCCTTTGCGTGACGTTCGTAAACCTCCTGGTCACAGTGGCTGCCACACCAATGTCTCCCAATGTCTCGCGGGATGTCTTGAATCCCCGCACACATAATGTAACTTTTTATACTTCTTTACCCATGTCTCACAACTCCATTCCCCCAGGCCTATTTCCATCGTCCCCAATCTACGTTCCTCATTCAATTTCACCGGCGCATGAGC